TGTATGTACAGTATGTATGTATGTATGAATGTATATCAAAATCACAAATAAAATGAAATGAAAGGCAGCAGAGAGAAGAAAAAATCTTAGATCTGCCCCCTTTTTCTAGAAAAAAATTCATATAAAAAATCTATTAACAAAAGAAAAGATTTTAATAATATTTCTGTAATGTTGACTGAACTGTAGTTTGCATTTTAATCAGCTTTAGTTGTTTCTAATGTGTTATATAAATACATTTGATGACACCTTTATTTTGCAACTTCAGTTTTTTTTTTGTCACGTCATGGTTTAAAGACTATTTTCTGCACTTTAAGCAGTATTAATTTTAATTTTACTAATTTTTTTTCAAAGGTTGAGCTGGTTTTGGTTTTAATTTCTGGTGAATTTAAGGACCATCTGTCTGAAAGTGGTCAAAATTATACTAAGTTGTGCATCATTTTTATGCAGCTTCTTTAAGTCAAGGTGAACAGGTTGATAAAAGAGACATGGGCGACTTTGGAAAGTCAGTTTTACTTGCCTAAAAGACAAATTATTGAACTTCTAGAAACATAAAAATACTCAGAGGGAAAACCAAGGCTGGAATTGATGACAGACTTACCCCAGCAGGTGTCCCACAGAGGACAGTCTGGGCCTTCTCTCGGTCCCAGGGTGTCCCGGGACACCAGGCTTCCTGGCACCCCTTCAGCTGCTCCAGGAGAGACAGTCTTCTCTTCCTGCTGCTCCTCCAGGGGATGGCTGTGGTCCCATTCATCGGACTGTGGACTGCCCTGGAGGCCAGCAGGTAGGTTTCATTAAAAACACAGAAAACGCTGATGTTTTACAACGACATTAAAACTTTCTGAAATGAGCAGAAAAACATGAAAATTTAGATTTTATGTTGCGTACTCACATGTTCTCCTTTCTTTCTCTACTCACACATCGCTGTCTTCTCTCTCTTGATCTCTTCTTTCTTTTTTTAACACCCTGCAAACTGTTGCTTCAGAGCTCAAAATACCATCAGGGCCAAAACAGGAAGTTCACTTTCTTCTTTGAAGCACATCCTCACGAACTTCCCTGATGTAACTAATCAGACTTTCTGCACAATTCAGCTTATTGCTGGTAATCCTTACACGACCTCTTCTTCTTCCTGTTCATGCTGGCATTTAATGAAGTTTCAATTCCATTAAAAAAAAACTGACTGCAGCTTCTTTCACCCTCCCCTTTCCTTCAGTGTGCTTGTGGTTAACCAAACCCTGCGCAGCATGCACACAGTGAAAAGATGCTGCATGCTCTCCACAGAGCAGCATGTGATTTTTTTGGCCTGGCTGCAGCTCTGTCTGCGTCTTCTGCTGAGATGTGGTGGCTTTCTTTTTCTGCCTTTCAGAGATCACATGCTGAAAGTTTCTGTCATCTTAAATACAGCAGCTTAAACTCTGCAGCAGGGGGAGAAACTCAAACAATGTTTTTGAAGTAGAACGGGCCGATGGAGGGGAAGGTGTCATGGCTATTTTTGACATATAATGTGAAAGCTGGGTGCTTGTTCTTTTGCAGGTCTGCTTTTTATGGAAACCACACACAGAGGTGTTGTTGATAGGTCACTATTTCCATGGCAAGAAGACTTTTTGTCTTTTATATAAAAAACTCACCAACTACTTTATATGCAACGGCTGACCGATGGGTTTAACAACCCGTTTGTATCAGTTTCCAACTTTACTGAGAAGCTGAGCTTAAATTCATTCAAACCCTGTTGTGTTCAAACCTCTTGTGTCAACATTAATTGCAGCAGAAGTGTGAGAGGTCTTGTTTTTCTGTCTAATAAAACATCAGCACCAGTTTTTCTGCTGACCACTGGAGAGAAACATGTCGCCAGAAAATGGAACCGCTCCCCTCTGGGGAAAGAATCATGAGAAAAACTATGTTCTCTAATGATTGGACCTAACTAATAACAAACTACGCTTCATCAATCTGTCTCCAGTTGCCTCTTATTGCAGATCAGCTCTGCAGGTTGGAGACTCATCGACCGTTTTCTCTTCCATCACAGATTTTTGATTAGATCTGTGATGGAACTAATACTTTTATGTTTAAGCAAGTTATTCATGACATCTTTTAATGACCTAGGTTTTCATGACATGCTGTTCATCTG